CTGCCGAAGCAGTGTCACCCAGAGCAGGCTGCACAGGACCTTGTCCAGGCGGGTCTTGAATATCTCCAGAGAAGGAGACTCCAATAATAAGGCCTCCATATTAGCCTCACAATTCAAGATTTAGGTCGGAAATTCACTATTTCCGTTGCTTGTATTTAAGAAAGTGTTAGGAGATTGTTCTTTTCCAGATTTGACTAGGTTATCTTATGCCTTCTTCCAACTCGGGACCCAATTTCTTTGAATATACCTGTAAAAATGGAAGCGTCTCACTCGTATCGTTCGAAATGATGTAACGGTCAAAATGTGCGGCTGGGAAAAGCCTCCCCCACCCCTTTCAGCTTTCTGTTTTATTAAAGTTTTTGAAGTCTTTCTCTTTTGGCAGGTTTAAAACAGAAATGGACTTACAGAAATAGATGTGGATAGTTCTTCTGTCCTCTGTTAAACAGAAGCCTGCTCTGTCCTCTCAAAACATCTTTTTTTGCAATTTTTGGTGCTTGCTGCACTAGTGGTCCTGTGATAGGGTTTGGAGAGTTGGTTTTGGTCTAAAATGCCATATTTTTTCCCTGTGTATTGACTTACATCTGGATATGCAGCTTTAAACAATGTTTGTTTGGGGATTTTGTCATTCTAGTGCACATGTTCTAGCGAATTTGTGCTTAGCTGGTGGATAACCAGCAAGTTTCTCTGCTGTTTTGTATCACTTTTTCTGAAGTATTTAAGCTTTAACTTTTTTCCCCCTCATTTTATGGACTTTGTATTTAAATATGAATCCATCTAAGATGACACAAATTAAAACCATGTTGAAAACTGCTCCGATATTTTTTTCCTTTCCCCCTCTACTCCTCCTCCCCTCCACATGCATTCATAACTCTGCTTATTTTAATATCCCTTAGTAAATACTGAATTCCCGAGAGCGTGCTCGTACTCCTGCTGCTTTAAACTGACTTCAGAGGAGGGACTGCTGTGCCAGTGGCTTAGAGGCCCCGGCTGTATTTATCTGCATTTTCTTTGTCTGTTAAAAGACTGGCTTCATCGGTAACATCTTTTTCTTAAATACTTGAGAACACGCTGATATCTTTGTGATGAGCAGACAAAACTTCCCAGCTTTGTAGCCAGATGACACCTGGCCAGAGATGGAAACGGAAGGAACATATTTCTAGGTGTCCCAGACATCTGGGAAGATGGCTAAATGCCACGTGAGTTCCTTTTGTAAGAAGCACTTACTTAAGTGAATGGTCTGAGGTCTTGGTTGCAGCCTTTATGGTTTGTGAAACATGCATTGCTACATTGAACCAAAATTTGTGTGATCTTGGTGAAAGCTGAGTCCTCTCGCTCATTTGGCCGCTTTGCTTTTGCAGTGCGTGGACCTCAGCTGCAATGAACTGAGCGAAGTCACATTGCCTGAGAACCTGCCTCCAAAGCTGCAGGAGCTGGACCTGACTGGAAATCCCAGATTAGCCCTGGACCACAAAACCCTGGAGCTGCTGAAGTAAGTGGTCGTACGGAGCGGGGAGGGGGCAGAAGGACTCCTGTCGCTGGGATGTGACAAAACCATGGCACGTGGAAGCATGAATCCTTTTCAAGGGGTACGGCTCCCTGTCACAGAATCACAGCATGGTCGGGGTTGGAAGGGACCTCTGTGGGTCACCCAGCCCAACCCCCTGCCGAAGCAGGGTCACCCAGAGCAGGCTGCACAGGCCCTTGGCTAGGTGGGTCTTGAATATCTCCAGAGAAGGAGACTCCACAACCTCCCTGGGCAGCCTGGGCCAGGGCTCCGTCACCCTCAGAGGGAAGAAGTTCTTCCTCATGTTCAGCTGGAACTTCCTCTGCTTCAGTTTGTGCCC